GAATGCAAAAAAAAAAAAGAAAGAAAGAGAGAGAATGAGAGAATGAGAATACCAATCGGAATAAAAAGTTGGAGAATCTAAAAATAATTGAACATTTGTATATATTAACGATAACGATGATGATGATCATGATGATGACGACGATAACAACAACTTGACACGAGATCGTTATTAGGAAATTAATAATCAGTACTGTCACCGGTGTCTCCGATGTTAAATGAGGTATAACACACATCGTAGCCACATTGAATGCTCCAACGGACAACAGGAGAATGCAAGTTAAAGTCTCCGTCGAGTGTAACGTAATCTCTTTGAACTCTAGAAAACGAACGGTTCGTCAACGCGAAAAGGCCCATCGATAATAAACCTGCGTCCTTCTACCTTTTGCAAACATTTACAACTATCCTAACATATATATATATATAATAATAATAATAATGTTTATTTTAATTCAATAATCAATTTTATTAATATTAACCTAAAGGTATCCCTAATGTAATTTATTCTTATAATTATCAAAATTATCATTATTATTCATTTATCAATGTTAATTATAAATTAAATTTCAACAATTTGTATATTACCCTTCCAATACAAAAAATATTATAATATATAGAAATTTTTTAAATTATTATAAAATAAAATTTATAAATATTAATATTCTTAAATTTTTAGGATCTTATCGTCTAATAAATAAATAAAAGCATTTTAAATTTCAATTATATATATATTTATAATATCTAGATTTTTTTTCTTGTCCTATTTATGTAATATATATCCATAGAGAGTGATAGGTATATTATTAGTTATCCGATTATAGATGAAACTTATATATATATGTTAGTGTCTCCATTTCGTCTCACATCTATTTCATTCATTATGCACAAAAGCTACTAGTAATAGTAGTAGTAGTAGTAGTAGCAGTATTTTGCTAATACAACTAATACTAATGTATCATTAGTTGATCCTACTTAAACGTCAATTCCTGGAAAATCTTGATGAAGATGATTACGTATACCCATGTGTGTGTGTGTGTGTGTGTAACTTATATACGTCACGTAATTATCGTATCGTTAAAGTAGAGTTAATAACTATTCAACGATATAAATGTGAATGGTGACGATACCTTTTTATCAATGCGTAATGATTGATGATTTTTTTTGTGAATTGAGAAAAAATAAAAAAAAAAAAAAAATAAAAAGTAAGAAAAGAGACATTGATCATTCGTTTGATATATAAACACCTACCTCTGCACATTTATATTCATCTATATGTATACGATATAATCATAATAATATAATACGTAGATATAAGAGAACTCGGTTAATTTAAAGAGAAAACAAATTTAGAGATTCAACAAGTCGCACGGTTTGTGAATGTGTTACGAAAGGCCGTGGCGTTAAATTCTCCCAACATGTCACAAAAGGGAAAGCCTACAACAAGACTTCCGTGATCAAATGTCTCCTTAAAAAGGATTTCAAAATCTTAACCGTTGTTATTATTATTGTTGTTGTAGATCGATATCGCGTATTAACGTAAAATCAAAATTTGACACGAATTAAATAAGGGTAAAATTTTAAAAGTTTTAACGAAACTAGTGGAATAAATGTCACGATCATTGCTAGAGATCTTGTAGTTAATAGTAATAGTAGTAGTAATAGTAATAGTGGTAGTAGAGAATTTATGGAATGATGCCAATATTTGAGTAAAGCTTTCGGTTAGATTTGCAAAATAAAAGGTCAAACGGAAATGCTATTTCCTTTTTTTTTTCTTTTTAATTTTTTTTACTTTTCCTTTTCTACTGAAAACTAAACTACTTGACGAAAATATATTCGACAGATCGATACTGCAACGTAAACCTTTACATTATGCACTTACATGCATATATGTTTTATACACATAGAATAGTTATGTGCTCTTACACGTACGAGGAGAAGAGGATCCATAAAATGAAATGAATTTTGCTTTGACATGGGAACGAAAACGATCTTAATAATAATAGCGGTTCAAGTAAAATACGTACCCTCGCTACCCCCCAACCTGTTTCCCCCTTCCCCCAACCCCATGACCCCATCTCCAAGAAGCGACAACTATTTTTCCTTGACCCGATATATTTGCACTCGAATGCATTACGAAGTGCACCACGGGGCTCGTGTTGCTCGATAGAAAAACCATTAAGAAACATGTCTCTCTCTCTCTCTCTCTCTCTCTCTCTCTCTCTTTCTTTCTTTCTTTTTATCACCTTTATTTTTTATCTATCGTTTTACACGAGACAACAATTTTCGAATCAACAAAGTTCAAACTTTTCACTCGATTTTTTTCAAGAAAGTAAAAGAAAAAAAGAAAAACTTTGTTCTCAAGATGTGTATGTGTGTGGGTGTGTGTGGGTGTGATCACTTCGATCTCATTTCACCGTTGGATTTTATTCTACTTTTGAAAAAAAAAAATTTCGATAAAGTTACAACAACGTAAGAGAAAACAAAATTCCGTACAATTAGTAATTGTTCTTTCTTTTTATTATTATTATTATATGAAACTTACGGACTCTCGTATGATTTTAATCGTATATTTAGGTTTATTTCTTCTCGATGACGATCGGCTTACGCGATGCAGGAAAGATCTATCTCACCCAGACGCAGTAACCGACGTCTTTCAAACCGATACGTTGTTAACCGCTACTAAAATAGAAATTGATTTTGCTGGTATAACTTGGTAGACGTGGTTTAACACCGGAAGTTTCTTCTTTCTTTCTTTCTTTCTTACTTATTTTCTTATTTTTTTCTTACTTACACTTTCTCGATAGATCGTATTTTACTTATTTCCTCATTTTTTTTGCTCTTCTTTTTCTACTATTAAAAAATGAATGATATTAAAAGCATACATACTTATCGTATACAATTAATTTCCAATATATATAAATAAAAGTAACGATGCATACTGTGTTAATATTATTATTATTATTATTAAATAAAATTCTCGACAATAAACTTAAAAATAATGAATTTTTTTGTTTTCCCCAACTTATTATTAAAAATCAAAATTAAATTACTAGAAAAATACGATAGATCTTTCGTATTGGTACCCCCGCCGTTAATGTGTGTTAATTATTTTCGTTGAATATCGTGTGAAAAATAAATGTGAAAACGTGGCCCGACCCTCATCTTCTCTTTCATCTACTCTAATCTCAGCAGTTCGTAGGATATATATGTATACATACATGTATGTATATGTAGCACAGAAATGGACACACAAGGGCGTACGGTAATACGGTTGAAATCGTTTCAAGGCGAATTAATAATTTTGACGGAAGCACGGGGTGGTGGAGTGGGTGGAGTGGGTTGAGGGGAAGGGGTGGGAGGTAGATGGCACAGGGAAATAAAACGATGACGGACACGTTAGCTAGAATAGGATGCACTGAAGAGAAGAAACGTAGGTACCACAAATACACACACATATGCACATATGCACACGAAATGACGTTCTGTGACTATCGAATGTAATAGTAGTAATGATGATGCCACGAGAGACCGATGACATAACGCGTCCATGCTCAGTAAACGGAGACCCGGATTATGAAGAAAAGCAACAGCATGCACGAGACCGGTTTTTTATCATCGAATTTTAGATGTCTCTCTTTCTCTCTCTTTCTTTTCTTTTTTTTTTACGTACACTTAACTTTATTTACTTGCATCAATCACATTTTGAATGTGATTATTAATTCTCGTTTATCCTTCGAGATGTATTTTTCTTTTCTTTTTTAATCATTTTTTTTTTTCTTTTCATGTGATTTCTTTCGATATTTAAATCGATACCTCTTCTGACGATAGCAAATTGTTGTTGATTGGCCTCTTTTTTTTTTTTTGTTCTTTTCGTAATGATCGATAACACCAAGCGTGACCATTTTGTTCGTTTAATAAAGAATAATAAATAAAAAAAAAAAAAGTAAATCAATGACTTTAGAAAAAGAGAGTGTGTGAGAGAGGGGGAGAAATTTCAGGGTGAGTTAATCAAAAGGGTGACTCGTTGTCGTGCTTTGTGACATACGCGACATTTAGAACAGAACAGAACAGAACAAAACTACCCCTAGACAATTAAATACAGGGAATACCAGTTAAGTTAGTCAGTCAGTTAGTCAGTCGATTATATATACGCCTCACCCTATCCAAAGAACCTGAAGACTCTTATCTTACGATCACCTAGTTCTCCCATATCGCATAAATTCAACGATATTTCTTCCTCGTATTTCTAACCGCACTATCTTCTTCTTTTTCTTCTTTTACGAGAAGAACCCCTCCTCATTATATCCTCGTGGGCGAAAAATATTTCTCTCGATAAACCTAAAGCAACCCCCTACCCACCCACCCCCACGCTCACCCTATGTGTGCTCGCTCTATTTTCATCCTAGACAATACAACTTATTAGATACAAGAAATTTCTTATCTTGTAATAAATAAGCTCATCTCTCTCTCTCTTCTTATTTATAAAAAAAAAAAAAAAAAAAAAAAATTTATCAATAAAAAGTGTAACCTTATTCTCTCTCTCTCTCTCTCTCTCTCTCTCTCTCATTCTTTTTCCATCTCTTGTCTCTCGTAATCAATGAAGTTAAGAAAAATTAACCCCAAGGTATTGTATTCCTCTCAGATACCCCTACTTCGTAATAATCATATAAAATATCACCATAAACAACAGAGTTCCTTTAACTAACTAATAATCGGTTTTTCCTTAAAACTTACCGAGAGAAAGAAAAAAATGTATGAAAAGAAAAAAGAGAAAACAGAGTAAAAATAAAAAAGAAGTACCCCTAAAAATGAAAAAAATACAATTATCAAAGAAGATTATTATTTTAATCAAGTTGAACGTTTCTTCCTTCCACTGTGATGACTGTTTGAGAATAGTGAAACGTGGTATATGATGATATTGGTTAAGAAATACAGGGCCCGTGTGTATGTGTGTGTATATGGCCGAGTTCATATATTCCGGAGATAGATCGGTTAACTTACCCTAGTGCCGTGTCCTCCATGCCAGCTATCGGGAAACGATCGATCCCTTTCTCGGTACCTCCATTCTCGCGTCCTCCTTTCTTTCTCCCCCGGTAGTCCAACGCCTTTCCTTTCCCCCTTTCACCCTCACACTCACTCACCCCCTCTCTCTCTTTCTTTCTTTCTCTCGCTCTTTCTCTCTTTTTCTCTTACACTCTATCTTTCTATCTTTCTCTCATACACACACTCTCTCTCTCTCACTCACTCTTTCTTACTAAACAACCCTTTTGATTTTTCAACAAATACCAGCAACAGTAACAGCAAACTCGAGACTTTCTCTCTCTCTCTCTCTTCTTCTTCTTCTTAAAAAAACCGGTGGGCTTACATCTTGACAATCTAACCGTACTGACGACTGCTGATAACGACGGACAATGATGATTTTACTATTACTGGTGCCGCCGCTGTTGGTGCTGCACTGATGCAGGACGCGCACGCTCTAATCTAAGCATCAGTTCAACGCGAACACACAGCAACGACGACGACGACGACGACGACGACGACGACAATGATGACGATGACGATGACGATGACGACTAAAACGACTACAACAACGACTACGATCCGCGTATTCTTCTCCTCGTGTTCTCTTGATAGTAGCACGTAGTAGCCCTGCGCGAAAAAGAATATTACGTAGCATGCCCACCATCGCAATCCCACCCGCCATCACCACCGCCATCGTACGACAATGCTTCGCACCCCTTTTCATTCTCGGAGTTATTAAACTCCCGACACCCGCCGAATCTTAAGGGTGCGTTTTTTTTTTTTTTCCCCCCCCCCCCCCCCCCCCCGCCATTAAATTCACCTGGGCGAGCTGATCTATTCTTCTTTTCTTTTTTTCCTTAACACTAACCCCATCCCCACCCCCGCACCCGTCACCCGTTTTGTTTTCTATTTTTCGATTTATTTAATTAAAAAATAAACAATACGCGCTATGACGTAACATCTAATCGTAAGATAAAATATTCGAAAATGTTGTTGACCGATTATCTCATTAATGGATAGTTTGAAATACGATAAACAGATTAAATGCTTAATTAGTTATTTGAATGACAACAAGTTTCGAAATGTTTAAATGAATAATGTAAATCGAAGTTGATTAAGTAAATATATATATCGAAAATCGTGGAAAATTTATTTAAGTTTAAGGATTAATTTGATAATCGAAAGATAATAAATGGCATCGTTGGGAACAAGATTTAAAAATGATTAGATAGAATTTCTGATAAATCAGTTCTCGATTAAACATTTAATCAAAATTCTTACGATATTGGCATTTTTTTTTTTAAATAATTCATCAAAATTTAATAACTTTCCTCGTAAACTATCTATGACTAATATAATTTATTATCGTATTATTAGGAGAAGAAATTAAAATACGATATTATCGAAAGATAAACAAAATAATATATTAAATGATATATTCGGCAATAAACTTTCGATTGATTCGTCATTTTTCGATAAATTCAAAATGAATCTTCCCGCCAACGACGTTTAATGCGCACATGCAAAACGCCATTAGATTTAATTACTTCCTTCGAAATTTAATACCATATACGTATATATTAAAAACGCACGAGAAACAAGGTACAGGGTAGAGAAAAATAAATAAAATTAAAAACAAAATTAATCTTTTCCATCGCAACAAACTCTTGAATAATGGAATTACCGATGATTAACAAAAAAAAAAGAGAAAGAGAGAAAAATAAAAAATTACGAAATATCGTTCGATAATAATACTAACACAAAATGAATCGAACAAAATATTCCACATTATATTTTTCCCCATAATAATAATATTATTTCGTAAGTCATAATATTACACCTAATATTAAAATGTCATTAAGATAAGCATTTTATATAGATACATAAGAATGCGGCTTAATGTATAAATACGATGTATACGCCATCTACTAAGTATCAACAGACATTATTGTTTAGCCAGTGCAAGTGCGTCAGCCGATCAAATAGAATGTGTGTGTACATAATCTGCCAAACGTGTATCTATGATCGCTGAAGTTCGTATGCTCGTCTATTACTACGTATCCCGCTTTTACGTTCTGTCAGTTTCAACAATATTAATATCATATACGAAATAACAACGAATCAAATAAGTTCCCCATAAGTGATCATTAACGAACGAGAGTCATGGGGGACGCAGCGATGAACGTCGCAGTGTCCGGTGGCGGTAGTCAGCGTGTCGTCAAAGAAGGCTGGCTTCAGAAACGCGGTACTGCCAAGTTGCTTATAATGTTTTTATTTATATAATTAGCTTATTGTCTATATATCATACATAGTCAATAGACTTATTATATATATGTATATATATATATAGATATATATATATGTGTATATATATGTGTGTATAATATGTGTATATAATATGTGTATATATATATATATATATATATATTCTTACGCATATTATTATTATTACGCCTAGATAGGAATTGTATTTATAAAAGAAGTAATGTTTTTTAAAAACATTACACCCCCTCCCCTGTGATAAAATATAATAATTAAATTGTCATATATATATAATGGTATAATAATATCATATATTATTTTCCATAAACACATTGTGTCCACGATATTTATTCATTTATTTATTACGCATTTATTTTTTTATTACCCCCTTTTTTTTTCTTTTTTTAATCCGAGGCGCAATTATATTTCCTAGTAATAATATTTATATTTAGTTTTTTTGCATACAACACGAATAATATATATATATATATTTTGATAATTATTGATAATTATTAAAAAAAAACCCTTGTTATCTTTTATTCTTAGGAGAACATATAAAAAACTGGAGATCAAGATACTTTGTCCTAAGAGATGATGGCACTTTGGTTGGTTTTAAGGCTAAACCAGACCAACAAGTGGCAGCTACTGCTCAACCATTAAATAATTTCACAGTACGTGGTTGTCAAATAATGTCTGTGGACAGACCTAAACCATATACGTTTGTGATCAGAGGTTTGCAATGGACAACCGTTATTGAAAGGACTTTTCATGTTGAAACAGAACAGGAAAGAGAAGATTGGGTAGCAGCAATTAGGTGTGATTTTGCAATCACGTTATTATCGTGCTTAAGTAATACTGTTGTTTATCATAAATAATATTTTCTGTATATATATATTCATTGTTATACGATAGATATGTAGCTGATAGATTAGAAAGTGAAGAGCAACAACAACAGCAACCACAAATGCAACAATCATCTTCATCAGAAGATATTGATATGGAATCTATGGGAGGTGGGAGGTCAGATTCCTGTGGCTCTCTTAGTGTAGTTTCTGCAGATATTGATGGTGGCAGTATCGATGAATTATCTGCCAAATTTAGTGTACAAGGAACTTCAAGTAGTAAAAGCACCGGCAAAAAGAAAGTAGTATGTATATTATAAACAATCAGTCCTAATATATTTAGATTTGTTTTATATATACTTATAAATATAAATGTATATATATATACGTAATTTATTGTGTATGTATAATTTATCTTATTTATCCTGTTTAATATTTTATCTTACAGACACTTGAAAATTTCGAATTCTTGAAAGTTCTAGGAAAAGGTACATTTGGAAAAGTTATTTTATGTAGAGAAAAGGCAACGGGACATTTATATGCCATTAAAATCTTAAAAAAGGAAGTTATTATACGCAAGGATGAAGTTGCACATACGCTTACAGAAAACAGAGTTTTACGTACTACAAGTCATCCTTTTTTAATTGTATGTACCTATGTGTTCATATAATATTATTATTTATAATCGAATGTTTTATCTTGAAATTATAGTTAAATTGATTATATTTGATTATATATATTACCAATATTAAATATTAATCAATATATCTTTGTTTATATTTCAGTCTTTAAAATATAGTTTCCAAACCGCGGACAGACTATGTTTTGTAATGGAATACGTAAACGGTGGAGAATTATTTTTTCATTTGAGTCGATCTCGTATATTTACCGAAGATCGTACTAGATTTTATGGAGCTGAAATCATTTCGGCAATGAGTTATCTTCATTCGCAGGGTATTATTTATCGTGATTTGAAATTAGAAAATCTTCTTTTGGATAAAGACGGACATATAAAAATAGCTGATTTTGGTTTATGTAAAGAAGATATTACATATGGTATGTATCATTAACACATGAAATATAAAATTATTTAAATTGATATATATTAATCATATTCCTTATTAATCATTTTATTAAACATAGGAATAACAACCAAAACATTTTGTGGTACACCCGAATATTTAGCACCTGAAGTACTAGAGGATAATGATTATGGACGAGCAGTAGATTGGTGGGGTGTGGGCGTTGTTATGTATGAAATGATGTGTGGCAGATTACCTTTTTATAATAGAGATCATGAAAAGCTTTTCACGCTTATTCTATTAGAAGAAGTTAAATTTCCCAGAACTATTAGTAACGAGGCAAAAGACATGTTAGGTGGTAAGTGTTAAATTTGTTTACTCTTGAGCTACTAAAAAAAAAAAAGAAAAAAAAAAGAAAAGAAAACTCTTTTTAAATAAATAAAATATTTTCACTAATATAAACATTTTTCTAGGACTTTTAATTAAAGATCCTAGCAAAAGATTAGGTGGTGGACCTAATGATGCAAAAGATATCATGAGTCATGCATTTTTCTCGTCAATAGACTGGTCAGATCTTGCACAAAAAAAAATACCACCTCCTTTTAAACCACAAGTTACATCGGATACAGACACAAGGTATTTTGATAGTGAATTTACTGGCGAAAGCGTTGAACTTACACCTCCTGACCAAGGTTGTTTAGGAAGTGGAGGTGGTTTAAATTCAATTGCAGAAGAACAAGAACATTTTCCTCAATTTTCTTATCAAGAAAGCCATTCTGCTGCAACTTCTTCCATTGTTTCTATTAATCACTGACAGTACCAAAAGGTTTTTGGATTCTTATATTGAAGTGTGTGATTAAGTGCATGGAAAGTCAGATAGATGTAAATTTAAGAACTGTCCGAAGCTTAAATATTCTTGAAACATAGATCAGTCAGATTTCTGTCGATTTTTGATGCTTTTTTGTGCATCTACTATATTTTGACACATATCTCCAATGGTAGATAATACATCCATGCATGCACACATGTATACATATAAACATTCATTAAATTGTACATGGTAAATGCATGTACTGTAAGTACAGAATTGAGTATTACTCTTTATACCTGTGCATAAAACCGAACACTATATAACGAGGATTTATCTATATTTTAAAACAGTGTAGTTATTTTAAATATGATCTTCTAACCATCTATAACATGAACAATGACTCTTCTATTATTGAAGATAGTGATTATTATAGTAATTCTAATTTTGTTTAATGAAGTGTAGTACTCTACACTCTGCAGCTTTATTTTGTCCTTTTATTAGAATAATATATATTATTTTATAAATATATATAAGGACGATTCCCCTGTTCTTCTTGTTTCACAATTTGTCGATATATTGTTGCGTGAAAGAAAAAAAAAATGTTAAGTTTAGCCAAGTTAGAAGCTGTACTATCGAATGGTTTTGCCATTTTTTAAATGGAAGTATAGGAAAATGACAGCTTTAATTGTATTATTGTATAAATTTAAAATTTTATTAGAATTCTTTGTTGTAATATTTAAGAATATCATCATTAAAAAATTATTTGTTTGTTTCATGTAAAGCCGCCGCCTCACATTTATGTGTCATGAATTAAATCGGTAAATGTAAAAAAAAAAAAAAAAGATCTGCTAAAAATGCAGATGGAGATGTAAATCGCTATATAATTGTAACTATTATTATGGTTATATGTATTATTACCATTATTCTAATTCTTATTTTATTATTAAATGATATAACGATTATACATATACATATATTTATATTTTAAGAATTAAAAAATTATATTGTATACCTCCGTATCATTTATTTCTTTCCTTTTATAATTTGTATATTATTTTAACAAATTTCGTACCACTTCGCTTCTAATTGTACGTTAAATCTAAATATCATTAATGATAATTAAACATTTAATTGCATAATACATTTATTAATTTTACTAGATATATAAAAATATATCTTCGATATATGAACGCTTCAAATGTAAGCAGTACAATGTAGAGTACTGCAAATCATTAACAGTGTGATTTACTTTATAATCTTAATATTTTCATTGTATGTACATCTATTTTGTACTATATACGTATATATATATATATGAGCCGTTTTTTTTTAAAGTGGTATGAATCCAACTTTGAAAAAAAATAACTTGAAGATTAATGAGAGAAAGAGAGAGAAAAAAACGAATGTCTGTTTTTTATATTTATAATAACAAGGCCAATGCAGTACAATATCCTCATTAGTCAAAAGAAATTTGGCTGTTAAATGGAATTGCATAAATGTTTTTTCTAAATTGATACTAAGTTCATTCGCAACAATGAATAAATATCATAATTGTGTTTTCACAGAGTTCCTCCTTATGAGAACTCTCATTATACTTTCTTTGATTCTAACCTAACTTGAAACTAAAATGTATGTATATATTCTTAAGACACATTCAGAATATTACAACTGAAGATTATATTATAACAGACATGTGCACCAGACAAAAGTAAAATATAAAAATAGCATTGCTAAAAATTGTTCACTTTCCTGACAATAATGTAGATGTGGGTGGTTGATCATAAATTTGTACTGTCAGATGATCATTCATTTTTACTAAACAAAACTGAGATTTTGAAATTGTAGAAATGGCACTAAGGAAAGTGAATTTAATTAAAACAAAAACCTAAGGACTATTATAAAGTAATAGAACAATACTGAGAAACAAATAAATTTGTTGTTATATGAAATAAAAAAAAAAACATGGAAGCTTTGTTTTAACGAAATCTGTAAAAAAAAAAAAAAAGAAAAATACTAAGAGAGAAATTATAAAAATTGGCTAAAAATTCATTAGACGAATTTCAAAAGGAATAAAAGTTGTCTAAGAATATTGTATTATAAAACGCCAATAGAAGAAAATGTCTAATTTAAAATTGTAGATTTTCTTTTTCAAAAATAAGGAAGGTTTAAAAATGTCCACAAAATAACATTATTGCCATTGTATACCAATTCAAAACCTATATAACATCAATTAAATAAGACAATATAAATTTACCACCTTATATACTTCTTATCCACCATGAATATTTCAGGACACTTTATACGAAGCCAAATGAAGACTAAAATATAAATAAAAGTTATTAATATGAATTTTTTCTTTTTGTATTATTTATATTTAAATGTAATAATTTTGTTATCATTTGTATTTTAGAATTATATTTCAGAAGTCTACGTAATTCTAATATGTCTGGTTTTTCAATTAAAATATAAAGTTAAATTATATATCACATATATATACTGGGTATTTCAAAAAATTTTACTACATTTTGATTGTTTATTTATTATCGTATAATTTGCTTTCAATATTTCAAGTTTTTAAAATGTAGTAACATTTTTTTGCAACACCCTCTATATATTATATATTCACGATTTGTATAATTTACTATTTTTAAACTAGTATAAGCTTTTTTGCAATCCATAAAGAATGTTTTACTTAAAAGAAATTATTAAAAGTTTATATCACTTTAAAAACTCACTTGTATAGTTAGATATTGATATTTGCCACAAAAGTTCTATTAATACTATTTTTATAATTCTTCATTTTTTTCTATACCAAATTCTTTTAAATCATACATCGGCATAATATAATTTTTTATAAGCCAGAAATGATCTATAATTGCACCTTCTTTATCATCAGAAACCTATTAAAAAAAAAAAAAAAAAAAAAAAAAAAAAAGTAAATCAATGACTTTAGAAAAAGAGAGTGTGTGAGAGAGGGGGAGAAATTTCAGGGTGAGTTAATCAAAAGGGTGACTCGTNCATAATATAATTTTTTATAAGCCAGAAATGATCTATAATTGCACCTTCTTTATCATCAGAAACCTATTAAAAAAAAAAAAAAAAAAAAAAAAACAAGAAAAGAAATTCAGTAATAATATATAAAATGCATTTAAATTTTACATATGCTACTATTTTAATCAGTTTACCTGTTCTAAATATAAATGCGTCTTATTAAACGCTTTCATACGTGTATATCCATAATCGGAACTATGAAACGCTGACCAATCTGGTGGATTAGGAACAAAATTTTCTCTTCCTTCTTTACATCCAGCAGATCCTGTTACCACATGTACAGGAGCTTTATAATTCTTATATGGTTCTTCATAACTACCATTGTACACCTATCAATTGAATTGATTCATTATTCTGTTCATTAATACAGAAGTATTGAAATTATAAATATTGTATTTAGATCACCTTAAAGTTGTATATGGGCCACATTCGTTCAAAACTATGTTCGTGTGCCCATAACATTAAATCTACTTTATGTTTAACAAATAATTCTTCTAAACCAAACCAATTAAGGAATGGTAAACCGACTCTAACTAAACTTTGATGATTGGTACAATCATCTGCATTTGCATTACTGCAATACATTGGTCTATGCCCAAATGTTACTATCCAAGGACGTTGAGCTCTGCGATAACAAAGATGGATTTAATATATAACAAAATTAAATAAATAAATATTTTTAATTACCTAGCCTCGGGTCTATTAGCTTCTTTCAAATCCTGATCAAGCCATTCGTATTGTTTAATAAGTTGTTTTATTCCATAATTCATAAAATAGTAAGCTTCCGTTTCAATACCTATAAAATGTACGGGACCCATGTTAAAACTATACCATAATCCTTCCGAACTACCAGGCATTGTAAAACGTGCTCTGTAAACAATTACCAAAAGCATAGTTATATAAATAAATTAAATAACATTTGCTTTATTATATAATTGAGGAAAACGAACCTATAATTACTAAAATTATATTTTTCCTCATGATTACCAGGTACGGTCATATAAGGAATATAAGCGGCAACTCCTTCAATTTGTTTCATAAATTCATCACCAACTTTAGCATTTTCGGTATTCATGTCATAAGCAAAATCTCCAATATGTATTGCAGCATCGTATAAGCCACGATGAGTTTCTTGTTGCAGTCTGGATAAACTTTGAGCATTTTCATTTCCCATATCACCAAAGATTACAACGTGTGGTGACCAATCAATAGAATTATCAGGAGCAGTTTTAACATAAAAAATATTTGACCATCCATATCGACTTCCACATTGATACACTAATTTAAAATGATAAACATTATCTTATACTGTTAACAAAATAATGATAAGAAAAATACATAATTAAAACTATTAAAACTATTTTACTGTAGTGACTGTCAGGCGTAAGATTTTTCAACCAAACTCTATGAATATATTGTTGCTTTTTCTTGGATCCTCCATCAACAAAAAGAGTTGAATTACCACGAGCAGTTAAAACAAAACCTCCTATACCATATTCTACTATAGATTCGCCTGTATCATTTCTTGTACTCCATGTAACAACAATGTCATGTACATTATCTGCAATACAGGAATAATATGTTTCTTTATATTTGCTATCTTCTTCTTTACATTTACAAAAGGAGAAATAATATTCATGCAAAAAGAAATATCTGAATTTATTGTGAATTTAATCGATCAGACAATAGATTTTTACAAATCTTTTATATGGCAAATTAAAAAAGCGTAAATAAATTTTCTACCATAAATATTATTGAAATACTTACTGCCATATGAAATATGCACTGCTTCAGGTTGAAAATGAACTGTACTATATGTCGTAGAAAAAATAGAAAAAACCAGAAGCACTATAAACAAACCCATGTCACTTTGTGTTAACAACACGTATGTTAAAATATCGTATCTCGATTAATGATGATTTGTTCAAATTTGAAAAAGAAAAAATCAAAATCACGATAACATTCCCTTCACATAAGCTCTATTTTTGTTTTTTACACTTAAATAATTAATTAATATAAATAATAATATTGTTTGTTCATAATAATATTCGTTAGAATGATTTTCAAAATTAAATTACGTCTTATTCTTTTCACTTGTTAACAATACAATGATCATTGTGACAACTCATCGTCAGCAACAGATATTGTTAACGATAATTATCCCTACTTTCGATAAAACGTGAATAAATAACACATGCTGGTTGTGATAACTCTGTTGTATTGACACGAACAATAAGTATAATCAAAATATAATCTAAACTAAAGGTCGTTTTACAACGCGTTAAATAGAAAATGCACAACGTGAATATCACTGATTGTGAATTATTGAAAATTATTTTATTGAAATTTAATATTTTATTAAATTCATATTATTTAACAATATATTTTTAACTTTTAAAAATAAACAAAAAAAAAATAAACGTACTGAATTAAAACAATCCAAGTTCGTGTACAATGCATGCAACAGAATAAAGCTGAACTGTGATTGGTGGAATTAAAAAACACGTGACATAGTAGAGTTTTCTTACTGAAAATATCATTAGTCGTGTTTTTACTATTAAGTCGCGCGTGTCTTTCTTCAAATCAAAGTTTTTTTTTTTCGATACATACGTAAATATTTTTTTAAATACTTTTCATTCAAGAAATATTATTAGAATAAAACGAAAATATGTAAATAAATGTATTATTTTTATTACACTTTTAACGATTAACGTATAATATAACGATATTGAATTGTATATTTTATCTACTACATATGTCCACGTGTATTTTCCTTAGGATAAGTTATTCATAATTTGATATATATTTAATACGATGATTTTTATATTTATGTGTGAATAATATAAAATAGAATTTTTGTTTAAATACGATTACATATGCATTTTATCATAATTTCAACATTAATGATATATTCTTGTCATATTAATTATGTCATTTTCAAAGGTTACATAATCTTAAATATGTTAGAACAATTAGATATATATTTGTAAATTTAGTTTTCTAACATGATAAGAGTTACGAAATCAACAGCCTCTTTAGCTCAGTGGTAGAGCACTGGTCTCGTAAACCAGGGGTCGTGAGTTCAAACCTCACAGGAGGCAAATACATTTTTTTTTCTTTCTATACTTTTTTTCAATATTAAACAAAAATTTTATAATTTTTATAATTGAATTAAATCGTACGACCAAAAATATTAATTACATTTCTATGTTGATATTTGTTCATAGTAAAAAGAGAAAACACGCAATACGTTAGATTAATATAAGATTGTACAAATAATTAGTAAAAAAAAGTTTAATACAAGCATTATCATTGGTTGTTTATTCGATTATTCTGAAACAATAGGTATCGTTTAAAAAAAAAAAAAGTAATTTTTGTGATAGAAAGATTAATTAAAAAAGAATAAAAAAAAAAGAAATGTTCGTACCTCCGAACACAAAATTCGCCATTGTGGGATACTTTTTCTGTTCAGATTGTTCGACGATAAGAACGAACTTCCTGAAATTACTCTTTCATCCATTGTAAAAGTCCCATAGGATTAGTAACAATGTCTACTCTCATGGTAATAATAATACTCTTGCACCATGCTTATGCATTGTTTTCTATAATCAGGTAAAAAGCAATGATATATTGTGTAACGTAATTAGTTATGTATGTATGCAAAATGTTGTACATTATATTTCTTTATATATTCTGAATAATCGTGTTGGAATATGAATTTGTAAACATTAAAAACAATGATGATACTGTAAATGATGATAAAAATAATTTGCGATATAATATTACAGTACTTATTAAAATATTACAAGAGCGTTAAATGGTTTGTGTAGATAATTCAGTGATAACTTACAATTATTTAAAGATTTAATAATAAAATTTTTATCGTTACGTATATATTTTTTTGTTTGTAATATTTTCAAATTAATATCTCATTTATATTACGATAGAAATTAAATATTATAAAATAATAACTTATCATATTAATATTTCATTGCAATACTTATTTGAATATGCTTAATAATTAAAATAATATTTTTTATATTTATTTAAATAAAAAAAAAATATATATATATATTTTATTTCGAATTACTTAGCTTCATCATTTAAATTTGTTCGAGCGAATTGATTTAATGCTTGAAACTGTTGCACAATTGAAAGCACGGATAGTACTAAATCCTTCCAACGAAATAAAGTCTTATGAACATGCGCGAAGGATATTATCGCAAGGTAAAAATAAAAAAAAAAAAGGAAACAATAAGGGTTGACGTGGAAAGGGTTGTGATACAGGAAACACGTGAAGTATCATTAAAAATTTAACCAGTACGTAGTTTTAAAACGTGTACGTTGTGCGATCGATGTAATTGATTGCGAAAGTAGTTATTATTATTTTTATTGTTTTTTTTTTGACTTTGACAATAGAATTCTTTATATTAAATTTATGACCGTCAAGTTGAAATGTAATTTAAGTAATCACAATTCTTGTATTATTTAAATGATGAAAATAAGGAGTATGAATTTGCGGAAGTGAAAATGATGAAAAATAATAATAGTTAGGGTTAAAAATACACGTATGAATTGCGTGGAAGGGATGTGCGCAAAAGAAAACGGGAAAAAATAAATAATATCTTCAGAAGTTATATTGCAAGCTTCGGAAGATGGACTTCTTCGAAAATCGTTATTACAATATTAACAAAGTATTGTTGTGTCTCGTTGGTATTTGGCCATACCAAAATTCTAAAGAGAGAATTATTCGAATGATTTTAACATACGCTGTATTAAATATCGCTACAATATTTTTAGTAAATTCATATTGAACGAATATGTTCTTCATTTATTTTCTTTTATGTTCTTCTCTTTAAGTGAAACCTTTTTTTTTTCTTCTTACATTGAGAATTATTTTTTTTTTATTCAATAAATTCAATTTCTTTTTCTATATTATTAATTTTCTCTTCAGGTAGGAAAATTTTTTACAAGTAAATACAATTTGGACCTATTAGTCGAGATATTTGCATTTTTGATGCCTAATCTTTGTTATTACTGCGGTTATTGTACTTTTCATTTTAAATTAAAAAAAGTACGTGAAAATATTATTTAACAAATAAACAATCGTATATGAATAATTATTATTTATTACTATATTAACAAATAGATAAAAAAACTCTTCGATATTATCAAATTTGATTGGGAAGAATTGAAAAATCCGGAAGAAATAGCTATAATTAAAAAGTATGCCATTAAAAGTAAACATTATACGATCATTTTAGCAGGTAACGAAAATTATTTTTACATTTTAATAATCGCGTTAAATTGTCTTAT